CAAGGCGTTTGACACCGTCTCCCACAGCATTCTCCTGAAAAAGCTGGCAGCCCACGGCTTGGACAGGGGCACTCTGTGCTGGGTCAGGAACTGGCTGGAGGGCCAGGCCCAGAGAGTGGTGGTGAACGGTGCTGCATCCAGTTGGCAGCCGGTCACTAGTGGTGTCCCCCAGGGATCAGTGTTGGGCTCAGTTCTGTTTAATATCTTTATTGATGATTTAGATGAGGGGATTGAGTCCATCATCAGCAAATTTGCAGATGACACTAAGCTGGGGGGGAGTGTCAATCAGCTGGAAGGCAGGAGGGCTCTGCAGAGAGACTTGGATAGGTTGGAGAGTTGGACTGATTCCAATGGGATGAGGTTCAACAAGGCCAAGTGCTGGGTCCTGCACTTTGACCACAACAACCCCATGCAGTGATACAGGCTGGGCACAGAGTGGCTGGAGAGCAGCCAGACAGAGAGGGACCTGGGAGTTTGAATTGACAAGAAGCTGAACGTGAGCCAGCAGTGTGCCCAGGTGGCCAAGAAGGCCAATGGCATCCTGGCCTGTATCAGGAACAGTGTGGCCAGCAGGTCCAAGGAAGTGATTCTTCCCCTGTACTCAGTGCTGGTGAGGCCACACCTAGAGTACTGTGTCCAGTTCTGGGTCCCTCAGTTCAGGAAGGATATTGAGGTGCTGGAGTACGTCCAGAGGACGGTAACTAGGCTGGTGAAGGGACTCGAGCACAAGTCCTATGAGGAGAGGCCGAGGGAGCTGGGGCTGTTCAGCCTGGAGAAGAGGAGGGTCAGGGGAGACCTCATCACTCTCAACAACTACCTGAAAGGAGGTTGTAGCCAGGTGGGGGTTGGTCTCTTTTCCCAGGCAACTATCAGCAAGACAAGAGGGCATGGTCTCAAGTTGTGCCAGGGGAGGTTTAGGTCAGATATTAGAAAGAATTTCTTTACAGAGAGGGTGGTCAGACATTGGAATGGGCTGCCCAGGGAAGTAGTGGATTCTCCGACCCTGGAGATTTTTAAAAAGAGACTGGATGTGGCACTCAGTGCCATGGTCTAGTAACCGCAGCGGTAGTGGATCAAGGGTTGGACTTGATGATCTTGAAGGTCCCTTACAACCCAGCTGATTCTATGATTCCATGATTCTATGAAACTTGAAACTCTTTTTAAGTGCATAGATGCAACAGACCTATTCATTGAATCAGTTTATATTGTGATATTTACACACACTGTGTTCTGTGAATTTCAGAAGTGTGCTGGATACTGTAGTACAGAGGAACAATCACTGTTCCGCATGTAACACTCTTACAGTCAGAAATTACAGGAATTGAAAAGAGAACCAGAAGCTGCAATGTGATGCAATAGTGATGAAGCATTTTCCCAGAGCCACATAGCAGGTCCGTGGCAAGGCTGGAGATAGAAGTCCAGTTGTATCACTTCAGAGAGATGGCCCACTCACCTTAAATAACTTTTAAATTATGTCATCTGTCTTGGGAGGATCAGAAACACGACAGACCACCCCCCAAAAAGTGTACAGACACAGTTGTATTGACTTGGATATGGAAAAAAAAGTCAGAAAATGACCAGATATGGATGTTACAGAAACTATGTGAAAGCATAACCTTTGTCTTAGAGAGATAACAGCACAACAGCCTAGTCCTTGATTTCTCCCAGATTCTGTCTATCTGCACTTTCTGGTTTTCTATCATTGCTTATACAGAGACGCTACAGGTTTTGTAGCTGGCATCCTCTTGCCCTGGCTGATCTTCAAAGGCCAAGCCTGTATACCAGTGTCTGATGAACTTTATGTAGATTAATTTCCCACCAAGAACCCTAGAAGAGATCCAGCTATGCCAACAGAAATCCTGCAGTGCTTACTTTGTGTGAAGGACTAGTGTAGGCTACATCAGGGAAGTGACCAGCCCATTGGAAGATGTAACCATATTAACGGTATGCCTGTACTACAGATTAAAATTAAAAGTAGAGCTATCTGAATTAAATGTAAATTAATATATTCAGGTAACAGAAACAGTCATGCCAGGAGTCTCTGAGCTAATTTCTCTCAAGAGGCAAAATACATGAATACTCAGAAACTTGAAAATCCAGTCATTTTCTCAGATCCATTTCTGAAAGTTGTTACCTGCCTTTCTTTTTGAAAGGTATGTAACACTCTCAAATCTTCTTCCTACTTCCATGGCACTTTCTGATCACAAATAGTTTGCAACAGCAATGTCCTTTAGCAGTTGGATGGCTGCCTTTCCCTCAGGCATAAGTAACATGATACTACCTGGTGGTTTTGGCCAAAGTAGTTGCCTTTGCAGCAGAGGTGCCAATATTTCTCTTGAGATACACACACTATTTCATTTAGTTCTCAGTAACTTTCTTTGGATGCTTAGCTGCATTAGCATATTGGTATTTTTATTGTCCCTGCTTAGTCATTCTCTTATAGAGAAAGCTAAAACCCTGTATTTTCTAGAACCACCTCTGTATTCTTCAAACATTTGTAAACCAAATCATATAGTTCTTTGGCAGCAGAAGAATGTACTTTTGATTGTAGTTTGGGAAAGAAAGATTATTTCACTTCCCAGATTTAAGCTTTCCACGTATCAAATTAAATAACAGTTTATTGTTTTTTTCCTAGCAAATAAAATTACATATAGGTAATATTACCTATATGAAACCATATTTTGTTAATGCTTCTACTATATTTCTGGTCATCTGGATCCAAAAAAATCCATCTTATAAAACTTGTTCAGTTTAGAAAGAAATTTTTCAAGTGATTTCTGTATGGTTTTCACATGGACTCTCAAGGAGGTCTTCTCATCTGCCTCTCAGACTTACCAGGGCTGTTAATACTTTCTTTGTGGAATCACATTTAGTTTCTGCAGTTCAAAAGTTAAGATACAGGAAAGGGGAAAATTATAATTGCAGGCAGAGAAGAGATGGTCCACCCTTAAGCAACCCTGATCTTATAAACACAGGAGTTTTAGAAGTCCTAAAAGAAATGGGCAGTGTTTTCACAGAAATACTATAAAACCAGAGACACACATATTTTCGTTGCCTTTACTTTGCTTGAAGGACTACTTGCTTGGTGACCAAAGTCCTGGAAAGGCATGAGACAACATATTGGTGTGGACTGAGGATCAGAACATCAGATTATTCTTGGTGGGTTTTTTATTACTTTCTCCCTCAGGGTGTGGTTGTGGATAATAGTCTGTTGGCTTGGGTTTTTTTGCCTGACAAATCTATTTATAACCTTGTGGCAAGACTTAAAGAATTCCCCACTGTACCCAGTGGTGTGACCAGTAGCAAGGGATACAGACAGGCACTGTGCAAAGCTGGGGGTGAGATGGCAGGGTAGAGAAGAAAATCTGAGAAACTGAGATAGAGCACTTCTTTTCAAATACACTTTGCAATGCCTGGGTAGTCTGTAAAAGCTATCTATTCTTGTTACTGCTTTGTGTTATTGAAAAACAAATTGGTATCATTCTGCATCATATATAATTCTCAAATGCAATAACCCTTTGAACTTGCATGATGTGTTTTGTTCTTAGATCATAGGGTTGGGTAAAGTTACATATAGCTGAAATCAGAGGCACAGAATGCCTAGTTACCCAAGACATTATAATGAGCTTATGGTAGAACTTTGGCTAGCATGAATATTCCCTGTTTCATATTCTAAATGGTAATTTAAATGGCAAGTAATTATTATTATGGTTGAGGCAGAATGGAAATCAAACTCATCTTTTTTGGGAACTGGTGGCAATTTAAATAATGACTTAAATAGTTTGTTGTTGTTTTTGATATTGTAAAATATGCTCAAATCACAGGTTTACAGACGTACCAAAGTGCTGTATTTTACACTTACTTTTTTGCTTGTACTGAAGAACAGTGACTTATGTAAAACATGGAATCTCTGTCTAGGAGAAGCAAAAAGGACACTGCTGTATCATGTAGTGCAAACCTGTGGTGCAGCTACAGAGTATAATTTCATGCTGGCTGCTCATTTTTAGGAGCACTGATTCATTAGACAGTGGGAAGAAAATGGGAAGAAAATCATTTAATTTCTGAACTCTGAGAAATCATGCTCATATTGGAAAACACTTTATTACCACTGCAGCAATTTCCTGCAGAAGAGCTGGGACTGAAATAGCACAGTGTGATGCGGGCTTCTACAAAGTGTCTTGGCAGAGCCTGAGACTATGAACACAGCAGTCAAAGGTGCCGTGTTCTGACAGAGGATGAGGAGAGCTTGCACAAGTCAAAATTAAGTTTTTCCTTACCCTAACGTACATCCATAGATCACAGCTTCTCCGAGAGATGTTTCAGAGACATCCAAGGACTGTCAGACTCTTTTTCACTGGGTAGGCCAAAGAGTTTCCTTACGGAACAAAATCTGGGCAAAAATCCCAGCTAGGCACCTTTTATGGTGCCTTCACCATATCCCTGTGTGCTTTTGTGGTAACATCAAATGCACAGACAAGTATGTGGGGACAGATTGGAGAAGTGCTTTTCCTCAATGTTCATTCTTCTTCCTACTGGATTCTTCTATAGAGCAAAGGGTATAGGGTCAGAAAAGGGAAAAAATTATGACAAGAGTGAGGGAACACTACAGGCAAATAGCAGAATATAACTGTAGAGAAGAAATTTATCCTGAAAATTTAGAGAGGGAAGTTTTAAAAAACCACCACAACATATGGACTAATTTTCTCCTTTAGGTTGTCACGTTGGGATGAGATCAATACAATCATTGCTGTCATTCCTTTCTCATTTCTTCCTGGATTCCTTTTCTGTGTTCAACTATCTATTTCTTCATTAATTCTTGTCAAACTCTTCAGCATTTTAGCCAAGTCTTTTGACTATCTTATTCATGCCCAACAGATGAATAGGCCTTCCATGAGCATGCAGACAGACTTGTGCAGACTGTGGTTTTCTTTTTGCGGAGAGAAGTAGGTAACTTCAGAATAATTAGCTGAAATTTCCTCCCCTCCCCTCTTTTTTTAAAGACAATTCCTCGTCTCTCCAGGAAGATGAAGAGATAGATATGGAGGCTGTCAACTGGCAGCTGAACAACACCTCTGTGAATGGGCATTCGTCTACCCCAACCACAGTCCGCTTTCCCAGCTGGGTGACTTTTGATGACAATGAAGTCAGTTTTTCACCGCAGAACCTTTCTCCCTTGAAAACAAATACCCCGTCTGCAGAAACACAGGCTCCAGATGTTAACTTTAACCTCACTACATCCTTGAAGAAAAGAGAACGTCCTAAAAGCACATTGGGGGACCTCTCTAAAATTCAAAAACTAGATCTCTCCTCCCTAACCAAGTTGCCTTCTGTTGAAACACCACCATGGAGTGCTACTAATCCCTTTCTGGATGAATCTCTCCGAGATGTCCAACCCTCACCCATCAATCCATTCAGCTCCTTCTTTGAGGAGCGAGAGAGGCGTTCCAAAAGCTCTTCTGTCTCCAGTGCTCCAGGCAAAAGCCAAAGAGACTCTCTCATTATTCTCCATCAAGAGCCTGATACCATCAGTTTCCATGAGGCAAACAAAAGTCTAACCCACACAGATGCTGTAGAGCAGCTCAAACAACTCCAGATTGGAGACCCAGATCATGTGAGCAGTTCTACTTTGCCTGATGATGACCCCATGATGCCATATGATCTGGATGCAGCTTTATTTAACCTGGCACCAGCTCAGCCAAAGGATGGATGGCCAATGATGCTCAGGATCCCAGAGAAGAAGAATATTATGTCATCCAGGCACTGGGGACCAATATATGTCAAGCTGACCAACAGTGGATGTATACAGCTTTTTTATGAGAAGGGGCTAGAGAAACCTTTCCGGGAACTCAAACTGGAAATCAATCATGAGATTTCGGAGCGCAAACTCCAGAACTACGACGAGAATGGAAGGATACACAGTGTGCGGTTGGATCGCACAACGTACAAGGAGAAAAAGAAGTATCAGCCTAAACCAGCCATTGCACACACAGCAGAGAGAGAGCAAATTATCAAGCTTGGGACTACAGATTATGAAGACTTCCTTAGCTTCATCACTGCTGTGCAAGACACACTGATGAACTTGCCAGCTTCATCAACAGATCTGAGCACAGTGGGACTGAACTATCAAGAAGAAGAAATCACTGTTGATGTCAGGGATGAGTTTCATGGCATATTGGCCAAGGGAGACAGTGCGATTCTCCAGCACTGTGTGCTGACCCATATCTATGTTCTCAGCTTCCTTTCTGGCCTGGCAGAGTGCAGACTGGGCCTTAATGATATCCTGATCAAAGGGAATGAAATAGTTGCAAGGCAGGATATTATGCCCACTACTACCACTAAGTGGATTAAATTATACAGCTGTCAGTTCCATTCATGTGTGGATGAGGACATGTTTAATAACTCCCGTATTATCCTGTTCAACCCTTTGGATGCCTGCCGGTTTGAACTGATGCGATTCAGAACTGTCTTTGCTGAGAAAACTTTGCCTTTTACTCTGAGGACAGCTGCCAGCATCAATGGTGCTGAGGTGGAGGTGCAGAGCTGGCTGATGATGTCCACGGGATTCTCTTCCAATCATGACCCTTTAACTCAGGTCCCTTGTGAAAACGTGATGATCCGCTACCCAGTGCCAAATGAGTGGGTGAAGAACTTCCGCAGGGAGAGTGTCCTGGGGGAGAAATCTTTGAAAGCCAAGGTGAACAAGGGAGCCACTTTCGGATCAACTGGTCTGTCTGGTTCTGAGCCAGTAATGAGAGTAACTTTGGGAACTGCCAAATATGAGCACGCCTTTAATTCCATCGTATGGAGGATAAACCGACTGCCTGACAAAAACTCAGGTGAGTGGTGCATACCATTTCTGCAGGAGTAAACTAAAAGGAGTTATGTATTTTGGAAGATAGGGAATAGTGAGTTTAAATGGTGGGAGAGAAAGCATCTTCTGTAATATACTAAAGGACATAAATTAGTTGCTTGAAGCATTTGTGACCCTTCATCGCAATAGTTTTATGTATCCTACAAATATAGCTAATGATAAAAACAGTTTCGGTTTTTCCAGATGCAAAAATACATGTTCTGTCTCTGCTTGGAGGTATTTAAAAGAGTTGTAGATGTGGCATTTAGGGACATGGTTTAGTGGTAGACTAAGTTCATGCTAGGTTAATGGTTGGACTTGATGATCTTAAAGGTATTTTCCAACCTAAATGGTTCTATGACTCTATGATTATGAGTCTTAGGCATCAAACATCACTGTATGCTCAGTACTGCTATTGGAAGCAGGGTTTTTTTGGGTAACTTGCAAAGGCAAGATCCTATGCTATGGAGCCGAATGACAAGGCCAGATAAATTGTTGTAATTCCATCCAGCACATGCAATTTCTTCCATGCATTGCCAAGCATACTGGGACAATGCTATATATTTCAATGCATATGCCACAATTACTGCCTATAAAGTATCGGGAATGGGGATTGTAAGAGAACAGAAGATATTGCTCAACCATTTAAAAAAATAGAAATTTCCAAACACGAGTTTGTGGCTATGCTTCTGTAATCAGTGCAGACATGCAATTACAACTTGAACCTGGAGAGAGAATACCAATATGAAATCCACAAATCTTTCTATTTCTAGTAACATGTTCATAATTAAACATTCAAATAATGTAGGCAAGCTACTTTTCCCTTTGGCCATTGCTGCCAATCATTCTACTTCCTGCCTTTCATCCATGGTGCACAGTAAAGGTGGACAACTCAGGTTTATTTTTATTTGTAGTGAATTCTACTTCTTGGCTTCTCTGATCTCAAATAGCTTTTTACAAATGAGATGCACTTTTTAGTATGATGTAGTAATGCACCTGGGTGACTAGGAGGGTTTCTGTATTCAGTGTTCCCTGGAGGAAAATTCAGTGTCATACCAGATTTGGCTCTCTCTAAGGACATGTGTTTTTCCTGAGTTTGAGTTATAGTGTCAGCAATGCAGTGATCCAAGTCTCCTAATCTTTTGGATGACATCTCAGCCCAAGGACACTAGTTTACACCATAGGTTACAAATTTGGAGGGATATCACTGACAAAAGGGAAGGCTCCATATTTCCTGTAGTGTGGGGCATAAGAAGACAGAGCTTGGAAACTCAAGAAAAATATAGCAATGAAAAATTAATCTCAGACTGTTTATGAGCAATAACATGCTTGTTAAAAATCTCACTGTGCCATCTGCAGGAGCTCTGGGAATGAGATGCTGTGAAATTGGGCCTTCTGTGGCATCTTCTCTCCAAAGATCTCAGTATACCATATAGATATTACAGCTGGGGAAACTAAAGCCCCCAGACTTTAACACAATCACAGAACATGCCAGTAGCAGTAACATGCCAGGAGAAGAGGCAAAACTCCTGTCTCTACTGCCTTCTGCAAGGTAATGCTCCTTACCCATTGTTACTCTGAGGGAGTGCCTCTTGTTGCCCTGATCCCATCTCTCCCAGTGTGAGGCTTTATTGTATATACACAGTGACAGGGGGAAATGCATTACAGATTTGTTGCTGCTGTTGGACCTCTGCCACAGAGCATCTATCCATCAGTGTCACCGTGCAGAACGCAGGACAGTATTTTAGTATTTGTTTACATCCTCAGAGGAAGAAAGTGTCCTCACTCCTCCGGTCAGATCAGATGTGATTTCAGAGAAAGGAAGGGCCTTGGACGCACTGTCTTGGCCAAGACACATGAGGTGTGTGAGAGGGAGGGAATCCCAAAGTGATGACAGGACAGGCTAAGTATAGTTTAAATTTGACCTTGCCCTTCGTGAACTATTTCTATTTATTGATGGTCCTTCATCCCACGGGTTTCCTTTCTCAAAGTATGTGGCAAACAAAGGGGTATATATAAGTGGTACTCAAAAGCATTGATTCCCACTCCTTTTTAGATTTGCCTGATGGACCACACACACTTCTGACCATGTGATACTGGTGTGGGGTTTAACTCCCAGCCTTGGGCAACTTTGGCTGTATCCAGCCGTACCCATAAGTCGTATAATAACCCACCTCCACCTATTTTCAAAGTCCTTATAAATGATGCAGTTCTCAAGCACTAAATATAAAACTAGTGACACCTGCCACTCATCTCTAAGAACACTCTGGTTCTTCTGTAAATGTCTGGTCTGCTAATGAACTGCTCTGGTGCCTGGGACTCCAGAGCAGGAGGGAGGTAGTGGCATCACACTGCAGCTGGGGGAAATGCTGCAAGTGGCCACAGCCTGTAGCTCCACCCTGCCAGCAGAGGCCACACAACCTGTCCACACCACTTGGGGCACATGCACTGCATGACTGCCTCCAGCACACGTGCCTGTCTGCCAGTCGTGCTCAAAGGAGCACATATGTAGGCACACATTAAGGGACCTTTTGTTCATCCACGGTTTGTGCTCTGACACATTGCTTGCAAACACAGTCCCAGGAACTCCAGAGGTCTCCAGGTACCAAGTGGAACTCTTCCTTCCCTCCATTCCCCAAATGAGGACTGATGCAGGCTCTGTGCAGATGTGAGGCCCGTGACACCATCAGCCCTGCCATCCACAGCCCTGCTGAGGAGGAGAGCTGGTCCCTCCTGAAGTTCACTGCTTGTATTCAGGTTATGGAATCCTAAGCACCCAAATTGTTAAGAATTATTTCAGCAGCTTTGCTGTCTTATCCAAATGTTTTCTTTTTGTGCTTTCTAATGGGATAGGGCCCTTTGCACTCTCACTCTAGGTGTCAGTGTTATCAGCACTGTCTGTATTATTTTGTAGCCAAAGCATCTGCTTGTGACTGAACATTGAAAAGCATATGACCAATGAAGGACAGTGCATACTCTGACTGTGATTTGACCTAAGGAAAAACTATGGACTGGATTCTACTGAGCACATTGCTGAAGTCCTGTCCAAAATGGCTTGTTAAACATTATTGCCCTTTTCATATTCAAAATTAATATGATCAAAAGGGTTGATAAAGAAAGCCTATTTACAGACTTTGCAAAGCTCCAATTGCTGCTGGCTGGGTTTCACATGTTGAGTTTTTTTAATCCACCAGTAGAATACTAGGGAAACTTCTAAACAGTCTTCAATCGTGGGAAAACGCTCTTTCAGCAAAGCAGAGATGTATCCTCTATGCAGAGCCTTGGAATCTGGATTTGAACTTTTCTCTAGTTTGGCTGTGTATCCCAGGCATGCTGCCTGGTATACTTTCTGAAATAAATTAAATCCTTTAATCCAAACATGTTGGGACACCTGAGTTATTCAGAAAAGATTCCGCCCAATCACATGCATATATATGAATTATATTATCAGATCCTTGATTGTCAGAACAAAATGTTAGAAGCTCAAGGAAAGAAGATGTGCATACAAAAGCTGTCTGTTGATTTCCTCCTGATTTTACTGAAAAGTGTTCCTGTCCATTAGAGAAATAACTCTGAATGAGCCCGTTGAACAAAGTCTGTAGAGGTTGTGCCTTGTGGGCCTCACAGCCAGGACACTAAAGAACACTGATGTGCTAAATAATTTTGCAATAGCTTCTGTGGAGGCGTTGCTTTCTTAATCCGTTCACCTTGTTGTCTACCATGCTGAGCTGGTTTCAATTAATAATTCCATATTTTTTGACTGCTGTGCATGGTCTTTTCTGTTAATGGGCTCTCCTTCTAGAAGAAATTAAATTATTGAAAAATTACCTTGTTAATTGCATTTGGGGGGGGTTACCTTTTTTCCCCTCTTTGTTTTCCCCTCCTTATTTTCCCCCTTTTTTTGAGCCTATGGATATAAACATTAGGTATGTTAAAATAGGTCACTGATTCCATGTGTCCAGTTGAAATTATGAAGAGTTTAAAAGCTGAAATCTCCAAAGCACCTGTCATGCAGTGTGCTTAAGCCCAGTTTAACACTTCCCAGTGTTACCTTCACACATACCCACCCCAAAAGCATCTGAACACATACCAGATCAGGAGTGTAGCAGCACAAGCCTAACATTTTGTAGCTGTGGATGGGGCTTGTGCTGGAGCACAGAGCTACTTCTCCTGGGCTGCTGGGTCTCCAGTCTGAAGGAGGGAGCAACCCCTGGCAAACTAAGGGAGAGAGAAAGCATGGCAAAGCAGATGAGCAGAAAGGATTACAACGAGGATTCTGCTCAGAGTGGCACAGGGTGAGGAAAGAGATATGAATGGATGGAGATCCTGAGACTGGGAACTGGTTGCCAGTACTGAGTGCTGAACACAGATTTTTTGAATCAGGAATGACCCATTTTTAGGCATCTTCATAATGCAGTACCAGAGAGCACCTTCTAGTGGTGAGGAAACTCTGTCTAGACTGTTTTGAAATATGAGGCTGACTCCAGATGAAATTCTTGCCCAGACTTACATTGAGCGAAGTTTTTTTCTGGCTTTACTTCAGAGGTCAAATGGGATGTTGCAATGCCTAAGTCCTCTAAAGACTGTTCAATTTCATCCTTTTGGGATAAGTAATACCTCAAAATCCCACATCTTGCTTTTCAAGCTTCAGCTTAACAAGGCTGACTTTTGGGCTAAGCAGGTGTATTCCTGCTCTTCCCAGGGCAAGTTTCTGGGCTTTCCCCACCCAGTTCTCTTTACTCTGCCTACTTTCCTCCTTCCTTGTCTCTGTCCTGTACACCTTGCTGATCTGTATGGAGAAGAACTTTTCCAGTGAACAAGTAACCTGAAATCCTGAAGCCTATAATAGTGGCAAAGGATTCTGTTCATTTATTTATACATTCATTTACACATACATAGGTAATAGAATATCTTCAATCAGAAAGCCCTTTGTGGCTTTGAAGGCTTTCATCTTCATTTTGCAAACAGAGAAACTGAGGCACACACATTAAATTACTTGCTCAAGAGCTTAGGGATGGCACAGTCAGAAACAAAACCAACCTAGCTTGACTAGAATTCCCTACTTTAGTTTTTAAACATAATTGCTGTCCAGCAAACCAAAGAAGAAAAATAATAACAAAGGTTATCTTTTACAGATGACAGAGCTAAACACATCACCTTGCCACCTTTAATAATTAGCCACCATGTCACAGGTTAGAGTGAGGAACAAACAGTTATTCTGTAGCTTTGCATAGATTTGCTTTTTGAACCCAGGAAAGTTATTTAAGCTTATCCAGTACATTTTCTTTTGCTAAAAATTGGGATAAAAATTTTAAATGCATGTGCAATATCTCCAAATCCCTCCTTCCCTTGCTATAATTTCATAACATTTCAGAAGGGGTGCCCCAATGTTACAGACAATGAAGGAACCAGAAAAGGACAAATACCTTTACCCTACTGTGCTCGATTTACTTCTTGTTTTTTCACCCACTAAAAGCAAACTAGAGTGATTGGCAGTCCTTTTTGCATTTTGTTTAATTACTTTAATTACTTTGGTAACTTCAACAGGTAAGATATTGTCACTTGCTATGAATAGTTCACCTGGAGAGATTCTCAGTTCCCTGCTGCTTAATGATGCTGCTTTCTCCTAGGTGTTGTTTTCTCATTCATCCAACGCTACTTGCATTACTGTTTGCTCTCTTTTTCCAGCTTCTGGCCATCCTCACTGCTTCTTCTGTCACCTAGAGCTTGGCTCTGACCGGGAAGTGCCTTCCAGTTTTGTCCGCTATGTAGATGTGGAATTTGACATGCCCACTACTTCTGCATCCAAAGCTGCTGTTCGGTCCATCTCTGTTGAGGACAAGACCGATGTGAGGAAGTGGGTCAACTATTCAGCACACTACAGTTACAAGGTAAAACTGAGCATGTGGCAATCACCATGGTTACACTGCGTACTTTCATTGTCTTGAAAAGTGTGAGCAGACAAATAAAATACCATGGCCAAATGAGGTGGGAATTTGGCACATGCCAGGCTGTCTGCGGTAGCTACCCATGTGCCACCCATGTGCTACTGATTCATGGCAAACAGGCAGGATTATCCTTCAGCAAAGATGAAATAAATTTGCTTGCAGTTGCCTGTGAAAAAGCATGCACACAGCCAGCTGCTGGGGATTAGCTGATATGGTACAAGTGTGAACAGGGAGTTTTGCTGCTCTTCATAGCACCTCCAGTGAGAGTGCTACAGTGGGAGTCCTACAGCAGACAAAAGGATCACATTATTTCTCTGCTTAAATATTTCTTCCTCCTGCCTGCCCTAAGGAGAGGAGCAGATGGGAAAGTACACTATGTATATACCTGCCAGGAATCTCGGTAAATTTGCATGTTAGCTGAATACTCGGAAGAGAAATTGGAATCCTACCTGCCTTCTTTAAGAGCAATGATGAGAAAGTCTGAAAAGATCCTCATGGCAAATATTTTTACTGGTAATTGTAATTACATTTTTAATAGTCTCTTTAATTCCCTGGAGATGGTATTTGATCTTCCTAAGTATCCCTTTTAAGAATTAAACAGTGGATTATTCCTGAGTTTTCAGAGATGTAGAAATTTAGGACCCAAATATAGATACCCTTGGCCCTGTATCAGTACAAATTGATATCTCTAAGCCAAAGCACCTCTGAACCTGAGGACAGCAGGGAGCATGCTGATGTTTGGGTTGGTGTTAGACAGTGCCTCAAGGAGCATTTGATGATCCTTACGGGTCCCTTCCAACTCAAGATCTTCTAGAAAATTAATCTCTTTGCTTTATACATCAGTCTTTGCAGAGTTTAAAATTTAGGCTGGTTTTCTGCTGTCACTTAGGAGGCCACTTATCATCTGCAGATTTGGTTCTGGGTTTGGATTCAGAGTACATCTGGGAACGATAATGAATAAAAAATCATGTGATACCAGTTCTCTGCATGCATTATCTTTTCTGGAAATGATTTCATGACACTGTTGAATTGTAGAACTGCTTGGATTAGACTTAAAATATTTATAGTAAATAAAATCCAACTTTCCTTGATTTTCAGTCTATTTTTCTTCACAACCCTCTCAGTTCACCTGAGCAGGACACAAACCGCCACTGAGGAAGATTTTTGACTCTTTTGTTTTCCCTTCTCATTACAAATGTTCTCCCTCTTTTTCTTCTGCCAGGTTGAAATAGAGCAGAAAAAAAGCTTGAATGAGGATCTGAAGGGAGAAAATACAGCAAATGTCAATGAATGCGCTACGCAGTGAAGGAAGATCAGTCTGCAAGTCCCAAGAGGGGTGGTCAAACTAACAGACCTGAAAGAACGGACTTGCAGGGTTTGGGTATTTTTCTGTTAAATTATAGAGTACTACTTTTAAAATAATACTCTGAAGAGTATTATTTTTTGCTGTGTGATGATCCATACTTTGAGAAGAAGCTCATCAGCGGTTTGTTTGGAGCAGACCCTTGGGCTTTTTCTGGAAGGATACAAGTACAGTTGTAGAGTCAAGCCTGCCTTTTCTGCCTCTTCACCATCTAGGTTCTGCACTCAAGTATGGTCTGGCAACCATCACAGCCAGAAAGCAGCCTTTATCTCACTTACAATCTTACCCTCCTACATTAAGCATTTTATTTATATGCCTTTTGATTTGGTCATTGACTGAATCACTTCCTTCTGAACTGCCAAAATAAAATCCAGGTAGCATCAAGTGAAAAATTATATAAAATCTCCTTTTCGAAGTGGTCAACAGAGTGAAAACCCTGAACATCATTCTGGAGAATCAACACACTCTGCAACATAAACATAAAGAATGATCTCTATGTTTAAGCTGACGAACTACAGACAGGACAGACAATTATGTAGCTGTTCTTTTGTTCACCCCTTCCTGTCTCATCCCCCAAAATGACATCATTGTGCACATTTTCATGGGGTCTGCACAAGTTACAAGAAAGCCTCTGCGATTTCTTGAAAATTTTATTTTTTTACTCTGAGCTGTTCTGTTATCTTGACTGAACGTGGTTATGGCTGCTAGCAACAGGGAATGTGTGTTGTAATAGAGGAGATACAGGAGAGACTTTGCTAAGATTAGATCATTCCTGCCTAGAAAGATATTTAAGGGAAAAACATGGGGGGTTAGTTTTGGGTTTGGGGGGGTTTATATATTTTCTTGGATGGGTAAGGTGGGTGGTTATTGAAAATGTCATAACACAATTACTTTAAGAGACAATGTTGTGTGCTTTCCTGAAAATCCTTGGAAGTCCATGCAGCACAATATTATTTTCATGTTCTTTCCTGAACCTACAATATAAGTAACTTGTATCTTCATAATTCCCAAATCTTTGTTCGCGAAGCCTAGCCATGATCTTCATAATACTCCCATTAACTGGGCCCCAAAATCTTTTCGAAAAAATAACAACACGCTTCTATTATGGAGATTTTTTTAATCTCTACTTTGGCTGGAAGTAACAGCAAGTCTTAAAACTTCTTTCTAAAAAAAAAATGCAGAAGACATAAATCACTCACATATATTTTCAGAGAAAACAGTGTTAAAAGTACCCATTTTTAGTTGTTTCTATGGCTTGTGTAATATTTTGTCTTGTAATTTTAAATGTAAAAAAATAATTTATTAAATCATTTGTCTTTTGAAAGGTTACTACTGACTTTAAAATACACATTTGGAAAGCCGTGGTAATGTAATTTAAAATCATAGTGAATTAAAATGAAAGCTTTTTTTATAAATTTATTTTATTTTACAATGAGTATAACAGAAAATTAATACACTCTTGATTTAATACTTTCACTGTGACTACTATGAAAATTATTACAATGTTAAAATCCCAAATAAAACATGAGATTAATTACATTGAGTCTGAAACTGGTAGTTGTAGAATTTAAAACAAATTATAGGGAACTTATAAATGCCTTTTTATATGCACCTAAATTTCAAGCCTATATCATCCTAGTGATACATACTTAACACAGGTACACCACTGTAAATATGTAAAGTCTCAGTCCTTCTAGGACTTCTTAATAAACATGCAGGTAGCCCTACTCGAGCCCAGGGAGCTCCTCAGAGCACACCAGTTAGTACTAAGCATTTGCAACATCCTTCTGTAAATGGAAGAATGCTATTAATTTTTATGAGGAATTTTGAGATCAGTGGATTAAAATTACTGATATTATTAAATGATTCTGCCCCAAGAGCATGGGGCTGAATTTGTGACTGATTGTCAGCTCTGTTACAGACTGGCTGTGATGAGTTGCATGGCAACTCCTCTCTAAAAAATTCATTCTTCTGTTCTAAGGCAGTCAAAGAACTTCTGGGTATTTTTCCTGTTTTTCACTACAGCTCCTAGTGTACAGTTTCTGAAATCCCATCAGCAAGAAATCCAAGAAAACCAAGCTGAAGGAGTGCTGAGATATTACTGAGGAAGTGTGAGAATGTTTTGTGAAAGAAATGGTTGGGAGGTTTCCTACTCTGAGCTGTAGGCTCAATGTCTTAATTTTTGCCTATTGCCCCCCAGCCCATGGACACACAGATAAATAAATTTATGTTGTACTCCTTAAAGAGGAATAAATTTATGTTGTACTCCTTAAAGAGGGAAGAAAATAAAAGGAATATCATTTTCCATCTCTGTTGAATTCTTAAGCCATTCAGCCTCTGTCATATTTCAGCCACAGAATACTTCATGCCCCAGAAACTGAATGATAAACATACTGGAGGTTTCTGGATTTACTTAATTTTTCTACCAGTTTATCATTGATTCTTTTTCTTAAATTCAGAATCAATGAATGAAGGAAAGAGTATGGACCTGAATTTAATCTTTCTTTTGTAGTTAGTTGTACACTGAAGTATCTCTTCCAATCCTCATGGAGCTAAGCAGACAAAACTGGAAAAAGTGTTCTGGTTTATATGAAAGTCATTTTAATCCATTCTGATCTCCAAAGAGCATTTTTTGGATGTTCCTCCCACTGAGTTTTCAAGAGTTTAGCATGAATACCTCAGACAGAGTTTCAAAAGACCTTATTTCCTGTTAAAGGACAGGAGTTAGTTGTTTGATTTTTCAAAAAAACACTCACAACCAAAACCTTTAGAAAATCTAGCGTTGGTGTCACCAGTTCAGCACCATTACGAGCACTGAGCATTTGAACACTGGGATCCTAAGTGCCCTTAATGAGGCTTCCACTGTTCTTTATTGATTAAACTGTGCCAATTTTTCAGTGTTAGACACTGTCATGCATGAACTTTATGTACATGAACCATATACTCTTCATCCATACGTGTATAGTATTAATCTGAACAGACTGTTGATGGGAGTGAGGGACAAGATCTGAGCTATGTGAGTTTTGAGAGTAGCTGAAATTATTTAGAGATAAGCTATGCCTGTAGTGGGGATGATTTTTCTTTTTTTTTTTTTTAAAAGTCTTGCAGAAAAATCTTTGACTAGTTTCAGATTAATACTTCTTTTGAGAAAAATGCAATCACTGTCCTTTGGTTTATTTGAAAGCTTTGTAGTACTCAGACACTCCATGCAGGAAATGTGCCTTCAAGGTAAGCATACATTTACTCCCTGAAGATATTCTTACTTTCAGCCCTCTTTCTATTTCTCATTATTGTTTTGTTTAATTTTTGTACTGTGGTAAGACTTGAGCTATTGTATGGAATTTTGCCTAGAAAAATAAAGTATCTTTGATCACGAAAGGTAAAGATGAACAACATCTCCAGGCAGCTGAGTGTATTTTAGTTAATGCCTCTTGCATTTATTAACTATGGACACTCTGCTAGAAAAGGAAAATGTGTAAATTCAGATGATAAATACTATAACTGACTTCTGTTATTTTTGTTCTAGTTTTTATTTAGTCTCGAATTTAGTTATCCTATGAAGGAGACAGATATAACTGTATCATCAGAAACATTGCATAAATAATTTTCCTTTTCTGGTGGGTTACTGGCTGACATATTTAATCAATAAGACCTGTTGGTCTCTCTGTCCACATTATTTAGGAGCTGCTAAAAGTCCCTCTTGAACATTGACCTTCCAGGATAGAGAGCAATTGCATGTAAAAGAGCAAAGGAAAAGGTGTACAAAGTTCAGCCTGGAGGTACTTACTCTGTTGCCTGCATAAAATTTTCGGTAATTCCTTGGCCCTTGAGTGCAGTAATCAAGCCCTTGATAAGTCACCTTTGTTCCAGATAGTGAAAAATTCCTTTCAGTGACTCTTAGCAGTTGGTGTTTATAGCTATATTCATCTCCAGAACTGGCCAGGGCAAGAATTTGCAGCACACAAGAGATCACTTATGGATGAAGTACTTACCATCTTCTGCCACTAAAGTTAAATCTACATCATGACGTGTCTGAGACACAAAATTTTGTGTGTAACAGGCACAACTGTTCCTAAGCTTCCTGTTTTATTTAGCCAGCCAGCCACCCACACATCCACCCATCCATCCTCCCATCCGTCCTACCATCCCTCCCTCTCTCTCTCTCATACTTGCAATTCATTCTTTGCACTATTGACATTGATTGGCTTGATTATTATTTTGTAACATGTTCCTTCCTTTTTGTTTTGTAAAATAAGTAAGTCTATACACTGGCTAACTTCGTAGAAGTGGTTTATTTTTTTCTGTCTTTTTATTTTATCAGTTGAAATGGGATGTTGTTTTGTTCAAACTATGTGAAATCTTAAATAAATGTTAAGATGAAACAGCATATCCTCATTTTCACTGTGAAATTGAAAGTTATATGTGCTGTACGTTCTGATAAATCAGAGGCCTTGAATTCAGAAGAGGAAAAAGTGATGTTTTGAATGGCATAAAGAACAATATAAATTAGAAGTAATGGGAGTGCATACAGTAAAGAGATTATTTAATTTGATCTCCAGATTAAAAGACAGACTGCAAAGGAAATGGAGCAGGCCTAGAGCTTGAGCCACGTAACAGGTGTGTGGAACAGTACTGACATAATATGGAAGATGTTCCAACATCTGAACAAAACCATCCTGAAACAAAGTAATTGAGGACTGAAGCTTCTGCTCAATGGTCTCTTCTGTTCTTTGACCACTAAAGCCAGGAGTACCTGAAAGGGTGGTGTCTTCCTGTGATCAGAACATCTGTTTGCAAAGCAAGTATAAGGATATGGTCTAAAGTACTTACGGATTTCTCTGCTATGATCCCCTATATTCTTTCAAAGTAGAGTAAGCCATGTATCATTTCATACATCTTTACACTTCTCTCACAGTCACTGAGACCCCCTTCAGTCTGCTGTCTTTATCAAAAACATTCCCTATATGAGACTGAAGAGCTGGGCACTCTTGACCAAAGAAAATCGGATACCCACCATAAGTGGTGTTCAGATTATTGCTTTGAGATCAGCACATTCTCCGTAGGAAGCCTCAGTACAACTGACAGTAAATCAACCATTTTACAGTATTAGAAAATGGAGGTACACAGGGAATGATGCCTCATGTTCATTATTCAAGATTAAATCAGGTCAGCCAGAAGAAAAAAGAAAAGTTTGAAAAGATTCAGGGCCTGTTAGTAATAGCAGTTTATTTACTGTAATTCAGATATTCAGTGACATTTGGAAATGATCCTATAAAATTGGGAGGTTAGGATTATATTGAACATGATAGTTTGCTAATATACAAAATGTTTTTAAATGAAAATTAAAGACAAAAATGAGAGTTTGAAACCAGAGAGCTCAGAGTTCCTTGGCAATAGTGTAGTTCTTAGAGAAAAGCCAAAATAACACCCTACAGGAGATGGAGAAATCAGAGTGCCACTGCAATGTGTACCCAAACAAATGTGTGCCCTAGAGTGAGATAGCACCATTTGCAGAGAAAAAACACCGCAATTTTCTCTCACTGCTCTTTGTTGCCATGATTGCCCTCACCATCTAGTCCAGATATGTTGTAAATTTGTAAGACAAAAGGTGCTGAAAGTCAGCTGAGGTCAAATGAAAGATGGAGGAGCAGCCCACTATTCCGGCTTAGGTGCAGGTCTGGGTCACAGCAGATGTGTCTGAACCATGAAGCACACCAGTCACAGAAAAAGCTCCTGTTGTTTTGGTCACAGTATCAGAAGCTTAACAGCAACTACTGTATATAAAGAAGTAACTGGAATAGTATTTCATACACCAGCTAAGAAACGTGTCTTTCTCAGCCCTGAATAACAGGACAGCAAAGCCTGATGGAAAGGTGTGACTATACTAGTGCCTGCAGTAGCACTGGGGTGCTGCAGCAAGGGGCAGACACATGCTGGGGTTAAGGGGGTCTGGGCAGACTTGTCCTTCCCTGGTCAGAGGCCTTCTGCAGTCTCCCATTTGTTACTGCCCCACAGGCTGTAGATAAACTGGGAGCAGTCAGCTCGGCCTAAAGAGCTTCTGAAGGAAAAGGATGAATACAGGGTGAATATAGCTGAAAGTAATTTCCTAAATTGAGAGCCTCTTTTGTAAAGGTTTCCCTGATGCAGGACTGAAAAGAAGAGCTCAATTCCCCTGTGGAAGCAAAGAAATTTGTTAGGACATGGTCAGTTCAGCAATTGTACAAATACAGAGAGTACTCAGATTAAAAGGGAATGAAATGGGAAAACTTCATGTCAGTGCACCAATGCAGGCAGAATTGTAGCAGAGTTCTGAGTTCAGGTCTAGAGAAACAAAAGCAAAACTGCAGTTTTCAGCTGAGATTAAGGGAGTTTGACCACTATGGCACCCCCTATCTCCATCTCCCTTTGGTCAAAATCTTGCTTCTCAATGTATCAGTTAGCAGGCTTTTTTTCCCCCCCCAAGCTGTTACAGGTACCCTTTGCCCTGGCAGTCAGGAAGTGACAGTTGGTGTGAGAGGAACACCCAGGGGAGTGCGGGTGGCAAAATAAGATACGCCGAAGTTACAATCTCAGCAGAGAAAAATGTGTGCTAATACGTCATGACCTGTGACAAATCAGGAACTATGCAAAAAAATGTGACTTGGGGAGTCCCACTCTACAAAGACTGACCCTGGGAAAAAAATAGTGTAAAAATCCATATGAATGTTATGAAAGATTGGAAGGATTGTGAACAAATAGAATTGGATTTGGAACTGAACCACATTGTCAAAATCATCTTTCAAATTGTACAGGACCAACAGACACAGCATGATGAATGTGAGTTGACTATGACATTTCTGCTGGGTAAGTTGGGGTTTGTGGTGTGGGTCCTACCTGGAGAAATGAACCATGGATTGGAACAATAAGGCATTTAGCTCCATGGTCACGCTCCCTGGGTTCACAGGAGCGAAGGGATGGTTGCTGTCCAGTGATCACTGCCAGGTCTTTGCCTGGACCACTGACCCACTGCATTGAGCAGCTTCGATGAATCACAAGTCTCACTGATTTTCAGGCCTGTGAACCCCATGCAGAATTTTGCCTGTTGTTAACACGGTGGAAAACAGTTAGATCTCAAAACTGGGTTTAAGAGTTGACTACCTCTGCTGATTCCATGTTTAGCTGAGAAAAGGACAAGAGAGAAATTAATTTTTCAGTTGTGTTGACTAATCTTTTCCACCTAAGTAGTCCTTACTTGTATGCGCAGTCATGCACATATTCAGTTTAAATTTACATCCATAAAGCTTTTTAAATACCTCCAGCAGAAAATCTTGTAAAAGGATTTAACATTTGTCTATTAAAAAACAAAGCATATGTGTGTGTTGTATAGGCATGCATAGACTTATACAATTATGCATTGTATGATGGGAAGAACAAGTTGACAAAAAAGTTTGATCTTTTTATTTTCTGGCCGCTATTTTAAAAGACAGGCACCCCCCACTGTCCTGAGATATGCCACTGGGGCTCAGTCCAAGTCTGGGCAGCCAAGCCCACTACTCCCATCTGGTCAACCCCCATGCAACTGCCTCATTCTGGGAGTACCAAAATTCCCAGAAGCTCTCATAAATTTGCATGAAAGATGTCTGCAGACACCTACTGTTCCTGCGTGTGCCTCAAACTATCACAATTCTATACAGCCTAGTCCAGCTTGGGTTTCCAAGCCAGGCATTCTCCTACTCTCCCCATCCTGAGGATTCCAACCTGCTGCTGTGCTCAGAATGAGTATTTATTTATTCTATAAACCTGTGCACTGGTCAGAACACTGCACTGCTGGGAAGCAAATGGGTTCGGGGTCCCTTTCTCCTCCTTGTTTGAGACTACCTAGAGGGTAAGTACAGAGGTAGAGACAATTCAAGACCGAAAAGAACTGAAGACTTTGAGCACTTAGGGTACTGACTGGGTTTGTTCATCCTTGACTGCAGTTTCTGAAATTCTATTGAGTATATTATGGAAATAGTCCTTGGAGCATGAACTAGACACCAGACCTACCCTCTCCCTCCATACAAATTGCTTTTTCTGCTGAGCTCACTGGATCTAGAAGGCCTGTTGTCCAGTGAAAGTACTTAATAGGATAAGTAATAACACCATTTGAGGATAGCGCCTTATCTGTTTGCTTAGGTTCTATGGAAGTGTTTAAATACATCCTTGTGCTGTATTTGCTAAGAAGCAAATTGTTATAGAAACTCTCCTTCCTGAAACAAAATGATCCTTCTATATTAGAGCCTGGCAAGAATACAACTATATGCCTTTGAAGAATAGGGACAGTTTTCCTTCCTATCTACAAAAAAACATGAAAAAAATCTCTCCTGAAGTAGTTTCTAACCTAATTTTTAGGTTTAAGAAAATTATGTATTACATA